GGGGGGGGGGGGGGGGGCATGATGACGTGAACTCCTCCCTAAAACCACGCGAACGACCACTACCCCCGTCTGTCAAGGGCTTCCTCGCGGGGATCTGTTTTCCCAGTTTTGTGCAGGACTCTGAGGAGGATTCCACGAAAACCCAAGCCATGGTGAACGCGGAGTGAGCTTTTGATCATACTTGGAATATTCTTGCTGCATGACGCAAACACTCCGCCTGGTATCTAGCTTGCACTACATATTATGCCACAAACCGTCGAAATCAGTACGATGCCGTTGATAAAATACCTGCGCCGGCGAAGGCATCTCCGAGAAGCCCTTGGTGAACGACCACAGGTACTCGTCGTCTCCAGTCCACTTCTTCATCACAGGCTCCCCGATGGAACCCCACAACACCGCGTGCGTCGTTAGCGCAGGGTCTGCACGGAAACGGGATGTTGGCGGGGGAGGAGAGATGAGGCCTGCATCAGGTGTGGCGGTAGCAGGGCTTTGTTTCTCTTTCTCTTCTTACGGCCGCGACGAACCGCCCTTCCGCACACAGAGCAAACATGTCCAGGCCTTTCAACGCGCGGGCACACGGTCTCCAGGCGGCTTCCTCCTCCGCACGACATTGCCAAACACAATTTATCAAGTCCGCCCCTCACAGACATGGCGCTGCCTTCAGCATCCCCCGCTCCCCAGAACAACACCTCATGTTGGGTGCACGATGACGACAAAATGGCCAACCATATGGAAGAAAATCGATTGACAAAAACGACAACGACAACAATAACAACAACGGCAGCACCAGCAGCACCAGCACCAGCACCAGCAGTACCAGCAGCACCAGCAGCAAGGGCAACGCCAACGCCTCTGCCTGCCTGTCCAACAACAACTCCAAGATAATCTCGAACCGGTGCCGTGACTCACACACGACAGCCACCCTTCTGACGTAAACATGTTGGTTGTCCAGGACAACGACCACCACGACAGCATAGCTGAACAGGAGCAAAGTCAGGCATGACAGAGTCCACTTCATCGTCTCGTACTCGTTGAACTGCTTCCGGACCCATCTCAGCTGACGAGTGCACACAAACCTGATCGTGGCGGCAAGAGACACCAGAGGGCACACGGGACACATGAGGCATGATGCAGGAACGTGCAGGTAAGATTGCCGCCACCTTCGACATCACCACCAACAACAACAACAGCAACAGCAATAACAATGACGACGACAAAAAATACCCTACAAGTCGAACCACCGACGTCAACGCCAACCCTTCCCTCTCCTGCCCCCATCTCACCAAAGATAGCACATGGTGTAGAACCCCACGACGTTCATCGCCAAAACCACGTTTCTCGAAGTGCTCGTGGTGTTGCACGAGTTGACAGCCTCGTCGAAGACGTAGGCACCGGGAACAAGCAGGGCAACCAGCGGCGGAACCAGGCTGATGCTCGAAAGCAACATGATCTGGTACCTGAAAGACGTGTTGTCAACACGGGCGAGGTAGGCCGAGTCACGTCGACCTCGTCTCAACGCAAACGTGACGATGATAGCGTTTCAGAGAGAAAATCTGCGCCTCAGTACGTCTACGTTCCTCTACTCTGTGCAAGCCGGATGCCCCAGTCTCCAAACGTTTCGCGTCGGCGGTGGCCCAGCTAGCTCATACTAAATGGGCATGCTTTCGTCTCCAACGTACCATAATAACCCTAACTCTACGCCTCCACGTTATGTGGGGAAACCAATGCTGAAAATCGGCCCACAAGGATGTGTGACACCTTGCTTTGTTCACAAGATACAAATCCCTGTCCACAAGAAACAGAACCCCTGCTCCAAAGCATCGAAGATGAGACTCGAAGGCCCTCCTACTTCCATCCGCTGTGTAGGTACCCTAGCAATGCCGCGACCAACAACGGCGCCGGAGCTCACTTTGCGGGCCACATGTTTTCGTCGTGCTTGACCAAAATCCTCCACATGCGGTACACCCGGATGAAAAACGCAAACATGTGGGTGCAAAGCGCCGACCACGCCAGGAATCTCTGGGGCCGCAGACAAAGCGGGCGAAAGGGCAGGAGGGGTGGTTGCAGACAGAAACGAGAAGCAACGGTGAACGAACGAGACCAGAGTTACAAACGCTCCATGAGGGACCGGCCGACCAAACCACCGGCTCGTGAAAACACAATCGGGACACAACGTGGACGCAACCAGCTAACTTGCCTCGAATCGTCAACCAAGCAGTCGCGAATATCACATAGGAACTCCACCCGCGACGCGCCTGCCTTCAGGCACAAACAACTCTAAAATTTGTGATTGAGGCGTAAGTCGTCCCGTCTACCGTGGGAGTCAGTTTTTCATCCGGCTTTTTGCAGCGTGTCCGTTGGGGAAACACAGGAGCAAAGTCGCACAAGACTAGTTTCTCCCGCTGCATGCATCTTCGGCGACCCTCCGAGAGAGAGAGGCGGTCGCGCACCTCGAGGGGGCACTTGGCAAGAATGTCGCCCTCGGTCCTCCGGATTAGACCGTTCTCCAGAGCGCCCGCGATTGTCCACGCGAATCCAGCGAACGTCTGGAGGAATGTAGCCAGCGGGATCGAGGACGGGGTGGCAGAAGCACGGAAAGCGCAAGAGACGGCGAACGTCGAGGGGGTGGGTCAAAGGAAATAGAGGGGAGAAGTACTCGTCTAAGGGGTCGATAAATAGAGGGATAGGGATGTAAGGGGAGAGAGAGGGCGAGATAGAGAAGAGAGAGAGAGAGACAGATAGAGACGGCTGGCGGGCGGTTGTTGCTTCACGAAGGGCAACTCATAGCGAAAGGTTCTGCCGACGGTAACACCAAGCAGGAAAACATTCTCCTTGCAGAACTATACCACCAACTTGCAATCACCGCGAGCAGCAGGTGCGGCGGAGGTCGTCGTTTTCTGCATCACCGCGTGGGAATGGGCGACGACGATGCACACAAGCGTGGAACATGAGTGGCGACGTGGACCCAGCCGTTCCCAAGATCGCGAACGAAACACTACCTACACATGGTCGAGTCAACGTGTGTCCAGTTTCGTCTACTGCCCACACACCATGACGATGACGATGTCCACATTCTTGGTCACGTACGGCGGCCAATTCCGCCAGATCAACAGGTGGACGCAAACGCCCAGGGCAAAGGCTTGGACGGTCCCCACGAACCCCAGCATGGTGTAGTCCACCATGGTCAAGGGCTCCCAGACTTCTTCGTCCGACATGTTCTGTGGGAGCTCCCTTCCGAGCGTGAGCGGTACAGTCAAGACTCTTTGCGGCTGCTAAGGCTGATGATGAACCTTGAGAGGACACCTGCCACGCGCGAGACGGTAGCGGCGGAGAAGCAAGGTAGGGAGGGTTGGTGTACGTATTGTCCTACGGCAGGCATGCAGAGGAGTCCCACACGGTTCGGCATTCGGTATGTTTCATTGCGCCTATATGCGTTTCCCGTTTCTATTCTACATGGTACTGCTGTTGTAGGGGGGGGGCAAGCGGGAAAGTGGCCCGGTTGTGTTTGTTCGAGAGCGAGGTAAGGCATCAGGTTGGAGAACCTCCAAAACGCTGGGGCCGCAAATCAGGGAGGCGGCGTCTCCAAATCTAGTATAACACAAACACGCACATCGAGACTCCAGTCGCTCCTTTCTTAGGGTTGGTGTAAAACTTACGCATTTTCCTTCCCGATTCAGCAGCCCTCCCTCGGTTGGGACTTCGACTACAGTAGTCTACCCCACGAGCATCCAATGTCCGTGCTGCACAACTTTTTCACCGTCACCAGAATAAAAAATAAAGACGACGACGACGACAATGGCCATACTCAACATGGAACCTGTGCGTATTTGGCGAAATAGTAACCCACCCACGAATGCCGGAGGCGTCTGAAACCAACCGCTGTTCGATACCAGGCGTAAGGTTTTTGGGACGATCGTGATCAGTTGGGAATGTTGCGACCGGGGTTCGAATGCTACTACGGTAGACTAATACTTCAGGGTACTTCGTTCAAGATTTGCCGAGCAGACATCGGTGGGCGCCGTACGCACGCAGCAATTGTTTTGGAGAAAAAAATGGAAACATCACAACTGGCACCTGGCAGCCGGGTGCAGATTTGACCCTGCTGCCTGCGTGTTATCGTACATCGCCCCCAGACGCAACCCCACACGTCGGAACGTTGGAACATTCCGAGTTCGTCGAGGTAGAATGGCCGACGTGTCGGGGTGTTTTTTTTTCGAGTTCCCACACATACCTACCTGTTGTTTTGGCCGTAGGGAGATGCGTAGGCATCCGTCGGTGCCGCTCACATGGGTACACCTGTGCAACATGCTACCTGCATGCCCTATGCCCTGGTCTGTGGTTAATTGTCACGCCGAGGATTACACGCAGTCACAACCATAACATACATCCGAACTCTTACCGTTTGCTCGGAATGCCCAACCAGAAACACGAGAGACAGTGTTGTCCCGCAAAGAAAAGTATCGTTGCGGAGAGACCGCACGCACGCACGCACGCACGCACGCACGCACGCAGAAAATAGAAATAGCATTGCTACACAGTATTCTAACGACCGTGCTACGGGGTATAAGCCTCGCCCGCGTCACGCCCGCCGTACAGCAGCCAATCGCTATCTGCGTCATGAGCGGCATGACGGACATGAATCATCATCCGTCAACCATTGTGTGCAGAGATTTATGGGGACTTCTCGATACATTGTACATTGCAGTGGCCTCTCAGCAATGACCGAAAGCACCAACAGACGTGCATGAACGGTCGACGTTCCTGGCACAGCAGCAGTCCAACACCTGAGCACTTCCATCAAGACCCACGTGCAGACGTGTAGACTGGGCGGCTTCGACAGCGTTCTGTCCGAAAACGTGAGAAATAACGCGAGAAGTTCGCATGTTTTTTTGTGACACAATGACAGGATCAGGCCCCCTTCCGAGAGCAAGCGTGAGAGATGGGCCCAGGTGCTATCGAACGTGCTGACCTTTATTGTAAGCATCTCAGAACGACGCACGGGTAGCACCAGCCTGCAGCCTGCAGTGTGGTAGCCTCGCTCGTCGTTGTCTGTATCCGCGGGCGGTGGCGGACCTTCAGAAATGCGTATGTATGTGCCAACAAGTTGTGCCTCTTGTTTGCTCAAGGAAAGATTCGGCGGAGCCCCCCTTTTTCGCTCAACACCCCGCGCTACAACAAGTAAGTGCCATTTACTTCTTTAGGCAAGGGGTGAGCTGCACAAAGCAAACAAACAGAGGGAAAACAGATAGACTGCTTCCATTAAAGGGTGTGCTCCATTTTTGGGAGCTCGGCGTGAGCATATATCGAACAATATATTGTTCGTAAAGATCCCGCTGCACGAATTGGCTGCAAGAAAGACCACGCCAACATACACGCGGATGTTTCGCCCACCATGTGCCCACATCATATACTGCGGACCAGATGCTCACTACACCCAGAGAGCAAACTACCAACCCCAGCAACCGGTATCCTGATGATCTTACATAGAAAACCGGCCTGCCGTGGTGTCAAATCGCTGATGTTGTTGTTGTCTCCATGCTTGGGTTGAAAACAAAAAAAGCGTTGAGTTGGTTGTCTTGTTTGTTTGTTTGTTGTTTAGGGATATTTTCTGGGTTTTCTTGGTTGAAAGCCCGCCTGCCGCACGCACGCACGTGTATCATGTACAGTCGCGGTCCCGGTTTATTTAGCGGTCCCCTCATCAGCGGCATGCACTGAATAGCGGTCCCAAAATCTCGTCGCACGGCTGCACCTCGGTACTCAAACTGCAATATTACTGCCAATAAATTAAGAATATATCGGCCTATATCCCTATATCTATACAGAGATGCTTTTGTTTTCTTAGCACCAACTGGAATCAATCACTGATAACTCAGTGTTAGGCTTACACAAATTCAAAATACGCCAAGTCTCCAGTCGGTTTCAGTCCACTTACTGAAAATACTTCACCACATCCCTTTCGACTGAGGTTATATCTCGAACGGGTAGTCTTTCTGCGAGGTTGTCTTTACTTTCTAATAAACCGGCGATGCCCTCAACAACAACGGTTACAACATTTAGACTATTGGCGGACCGCTAAATAAACCGGGACCACGCCTGCATGCGCAGCAGGAAGTACCTTTGATCTTGATGTTCGACACACTGATGACGTACGTACGTAGATATCTTTTTGTAAAGCACAACAAAGGATTTATTTTGAGATACGAACTTGGGTCTTACCGCTGTTTCTATGCAGCAGGTGGCTAACGAATGAAAGGGGGTGCTTTGCCGGAGGAACCCCGTGTAGTAAAAAAAAGTAAATGAACGCGCAGTGCAATCTGGAAGAAGACCCCCGTGAAGAAAACAACTCAATCCTCAACACTCTTACTAATTTCGATGCGGGGCAGCAAGTACTGCTGTAGCTGTTGTTGCTGTTGTCTTGGCTACAGGTATAGGAATGGCAGCCGTGAGGAGCGATCAGCTCCCTCAAGGCTACTAGATCCATCCTGTCCCATGTTCATCCTTCCATCGTGGAGATGCATCTCATCCCGCACCATTTAGAAGGAATCATTCTCTTTGTCCACGTACACATCTAGTCTAAATCCTAACACTAGCCCACCCTGGAGGTTCTCATACAAACATCTCTGAAAATACTTTTAAAACCATACATTAAACCTTGGAGCTTGACACGACGCCAAAATGAGAGTATCGAGGATGCGGGGCTCCAAAACAACACAACACCTACACTTCTCACTCGATGAGTCGAAAGAAAGACCATCGTTTGACCTCTACAACAAAAGAAGGTACAGGACCACGGCTTGTCCTGCCGACGACGCCAAGTGAAAGGATGTGCACACACACGCGGTGCAATCTGCAAGACCCCCGTGACGAGGAACTCACTTGGTATTAACTCGTGCGGAACAGCAGCTGGTGCTATTGCCTTGCTTCCAGGGAGGAATGGCAGCCGTGGGGTAGAGATCCTCAAGCAAGGGGCTACTAGATCCTGTCCCATCCTGTTTTATCTTTCCATCGGGGAGTTACGTCTCCCCGCCCCTTCTAGAAGGGATCATTCTCTTCTATGCGCCCCCTACACATCTAAATCCTATGGAACCCGCAAGCATCGCGGACCCACAACCTCCCACACAGGCACGACACACACCGGCGAGCGAATGAATCCGTCCACAAGACCCGCCCAATTTACTTCACACGTTGGGTTCGCCACCTTCGTAGAGGAGTACGTTCTCCTTCCAGACGGGGTGAACAATATGGTAACCTTCCGCACACGCGTAAGAGACGCATCGACGAAAAGAAACAAAACTGAGACAATAGCCATCCAACCCTCACCCACGTTTACAAACAATGATAATCAACTTCAAGTCCTCCTTCCGGTACAAACTGGGCGCTCCCCCAACGAATAACACCCGCGGAGATGGTGAAAATGCTTGGAGTTACCTTGTGCCGCCCCATGGGTGTTGTGAATTTGGAGGCCAAGCCGTTCGGTCCAGCAGCCTCCTCCGCACCTACCCGCACCTGCCGGGGGGCTCCGCCAACAGTAACGAGTCCTCAACACGTAAGACCCACGGTTTTCATTGGTCAATCCTCTTCCACCTATAGACTACATTGACCCGCTTCGAGTACAAGTTCCGCAACAATGCCCCGACGAATAGGGTACCATGGTACCGTGTATGCTGCATCCTGCGTACAGACCCCTGCAAGCACCAGCGACGCCACCGCTTCGTTGTGGGAGGACACCATCGATGTTTCCTTAGGCACCATCAACCTTTCCTTAGGGAGAAAGACGCGGTCGTGCCAGCGCCTTCCACTCGCCTTCGGAGGCGCCTATCCGATATACATGCTGCCAGCGGTGGCTTCGTCACCAACATTTGCCGCACGAGCACCTCCCGTGCCACGCCGCCACCGCCACCACGCTCCATCGTTGCCTTCAGTCTCAACAACCAGATCGCCATCCCAGTCGTGGCCCTTTCGCTCCACCGACATGATCACTCGCGGAGGCGCAGTCAGTGGACGCCCACACACGAGTGGGGCTTCTACCCATTCCCACCAATACCGCCTGCTTCAGCATCAACAGTAGCAGTCAGCATCAACAGTAGCAGCATCGACCTCTTGCACACCACCACCACTTCCCCGCTCCACAACAGCCCCATCGAATTTGCGTACCGCCACAGTAGACAAAGAAGCTTCAGCCTTCCCGCCGAAGGCTGAGGTCTAGCGATTCAACATCCATCCCACCAAGGGGCCAGCAAGCATGACGAGAGCCGCCTATAGGGGGCCCCGTCGGGAAAGAGGAAGCGGACGTCGTCACACACTGGGCGAAGGCGGGGTGTCCGGCGGCAAGAAGCCCCCGGCCCGCAGGAGACGGTTCTCTCGCTGCTCTAGCTCGGAAGCATCGGCGATTCGGCGGAACCCCTCTGTTTCTACGAACTCCCTCTGGAAGTTGGTCTGCGGTCATCGATTTCAAGTTTGTAGGGGCGGCGAAGAGACGGCGCGGAGAGAGAGGTGGAATATAGCATAGAATCCCTTACCAAAGCCGGCTGTGTGTCATGCAGCTTGGTCGATGAACAGCGCTGGGGTGCAAGACTGGGCGGTGGTAGCTTGGTTTGGGTGTCACGCCGTTGTTCGGTATATATCGGACGAAGAACGGCGCGAAAATCAAAGCGCTGGAAATACAAGGCAGCACGTTTCCGGCACAACATTACGTACCGCCTCATCACCACGGTGTGGCTATGGTCGGGCCACGGAGGTCACCACAAGACGAAGCACAAAAATCTCATTTGACAGCCAACGACAACGACAACGACAATAGGAAACAAGAGAGGTCTTCAGTCGAGCGATAGCCAGAGGCGATGTCGTGCCCATCTCGTCTTCATCCTTACCTCCATGACGGTCAGAACCTCAACTCTAGCGCGGTCGAAGATGTCGTACGCCGTCACGTCCGTCGACAAAATCTCCTCCCGGCACTCCCCCGAAATGTTTACCTGCCGCCGCGATCAATGACACACGCCAAATATCGTTACAAAGAGGGGAGGGGTGGGTCTTGCTTGCGTTGTGCTCTCAGCACAATAGAAGCGACGCACTATGCGAGCAACGGTTTAGACTGTCCATCACCAGATAAATCAAATGCATTATTTGTCATCTTGAGGGACGCATACTGGTATTCAGTGGCACACAAACACGAGAACAACACCCACCTCTTCAGGGGCCCCTTCTTTGATATACTGCGCCACGATGCGCATCGTTACGGCCTGACAAAAGAACAAACACACGGTTAAGGGAGGGTGTCATTAACGGACGGCAGGTCTTTCTGTTAAAGCCGCCTTCGACCGTCTCATGGCATGCGGTGGGTACAAATGCTGAAGGAAAGGGTGAAGGATGTCGAGTGGTTCGTTACCTGTCTGGCGAAGTATTCCTTGATCTCCTCCCTGTCTAGCGAGTCGAGGTAGAAGTTCACCAGCTCTTGGGCCACCCTAGTCTCGATATATCTCCGAAACTCGGTCCGGAGTTGCTCTACCGACAGCTGCTCTGCGAGGCTAGCCTTGAGCTTTCGGGGGGTTCAGTAGGGTGGCACAGGGGAGGGGCAGGGAGGGACGGGGTCAGCACACCCGAGATAGCAGTGGCAGACGGGGGAAGCGGAGAAGGAGGGATTGAAGACACCTAAGACCCCACAAGACGATGGTTCGACGTACCGACTACGGACGGTTTGGGCACCGATTTTTTTTTCTCCAGTCATACTGCAGAATGTCTCGCTGTGGTACATGCGACAATTGTTTGTCGTGTGAGGGACCGATTTTCGTCCTGCGGGGGGGGGGGGGGGTACTCATAATCGTGCATGCCGTAGTCGTTAAAACATTGACCTCCCATCCCTACAAAGCCGGGACGGAGCACGCCGGGTTCTCACCGGACCAGGCTCTCACATCACCAAGCGCGAAGCGCCCTGAGGTATTTGGCGAGTCGCATGAAGGGTGAGCTGCATCCTGCTAAGGGTGTTCGGCATCTTGTGCTTACTTCCTTGCGTACGGATGACAGCTACGTATGACTTAATTTATTTTCTGGTGCTTTCACTTCCAGAGCAGTTGTAAGCACTGTGTAACTGCCTCGAGGAAGCTTGACCATTTTAACCACAACGTGGTGCGATCATCCCCCGTTGCGGCGGAGTGAGGTTTCTCGACCCCGCACAACATGATCTACTCGACCACCATTATGGTTACCGCCAAAAAAAAAAAACGAGGTAAAAAAAAAAAAACGGTAACCTGGTTGCCGGAGTTCACGAAGTGAATTGGCTTGTTTTACAACGTCGTTGCCAAGCGACGAAAACCCAATCCCGATGGCAAAACACCGCGGAGGGCGGCTTGTTTTACAACGTCGTTGCCAAGGGACGAAAACCCAACCCCGATGGCAAACACCGGGGGGGGGGGGGGGGGGCCATGATGACGTGAAGCCTTTCCCTAAAAAAACGCGAAAAACCACTACCCCCGTCTGTCAAGGGCTTCCCCGCGGGGATCTGCTTTTCCTAGGTTACTGTCTGTGAAGGCCACGGAGATGGGACCCCCCACGAAATCAAGCCATAGGGAACGCGATTGATCATGCATTTTACGGCATGCGCAAACGCGGCACCTGGAGTCTAGCTTGCACCCTTCTACAAACCGTCGGAATCAAGATAATATCGAATCAGGATGATTGGCACGGTACCTCAAGCCATCGGAAATCGGTACGAATATCGACGCTCACAAAGTTGTGCTGAGAACGAAGAACGCGGCCATCATTAGAAGCATCACTTTTATTGCTGCCTCTGCGCTCCTTTCACTCGCTGCTGCAATATATAGCGGCATCCACCGGTCCGTGTGCAGGCTAACCGTCAAACGGAACCGCGTCTGGCCGAAGAGGGCAACCTACCGAAAGCCTCACACAAGACACCACTTTCCTCGCTGGGAGTCAAGTTCACAAACCTCGACCTTTCGTGACATGGATAACATACCTGCGCCGGCGAAGGCATCTCCGAGAAGCCCTTGGTGAACGACCACAGGTACTCGTCGTCTCTCGTCCACTTCTTCAACACAGGCCTACCGATGGAGCCCCACAACACCGTGTGCGTCGTTAGCGCAGGGTCTGCACGGTAACGGGATGTTGCCGGGGGGGGAGAGATAAGACCCGCATCAGGTGTGGCGGTACCGGGGCCTTGTTTCTCTTTTTCTTCTTACGGCCACGACGAACGGCCCTTCCGTTCTCGTCGCACACAGGGGAAGCATGTCATCCCCTGTGAATAGCCTTCCCCGCGCCAATGGCCAAACACAATTTATCAAGTCCCACCGCCTCAGACGTGGCGCGACCTTCTCCAGAAAAAGAGATATAATATAATTTCTCTCCATTCGGGGAAACAGCTGCCTTCAGCGTCCCACGCTCCCCAGAACAACATCTCACGCTGGGTGCACGAAGAAAAAAACAATGACCAACAATATGACAGAAAATCGATTGACAACAACGGCAGCACCAGCAGCACCAGCACCAGCAGCAGCAAGGGCAACGCCAACGACTCTGCCTGCCTGTCCAACAACAACTCCAAGATAATCTCGAACCGGTGCCGTGACTCACACACGATGGCCACTCTTCTGACGTAAACATGTTGGCCGTCCAGGACAACGACCACCACGACCGCATAGCTGAACAGGAGCAAAGTCAGGCATGACAGGGTCCACTTCATCGTCTCGTACTCGTTGAACTGCTTCCGGACCCACTTCAGCTGACGAGTGCACACAAACCTGATCGTGGCGGCAAGAGACACCAGAGGGCAACACGGGACACATGAGGCCTGTTGCAGGAACGTGCCGGTAAGATTGCCGCCACCTTCGACATCACCACCACCAACAACAAAACAGCAACAAAAACAGAAACACAACAACAACAACAATGGCGGCAATGACGACGGCTACAACGACAACGAAAAAGACAAACATACCACAAGTCGAACTACCGACGTCAACGCCAACCCTCCCCTCTCCTCCCCTCATCTCACCAAATATAGCATATGGTGTAGAACCCCACAGCGTTCATCGCCAAAGTCACGGTCCTCGACGTGTTCGTAGTGGTGCACAAGTTAACAGTCTCGTCGAACACGTAGGCACCCGGAACAAGCAGGGCCACTAGCGCCGGAGTCAGGCTGATGCTCGAGAGCAACATGATCTGGTACCTAACAGAGGCGTCATCAATACGGGTGAGGCAGGGCGGCATCAATCGACCTTGTATCAACACAACACGAAACCAGCACACAGTATCTGCGCCCCGCTGCTATTTCCTTCTTCCCTGTGGATGCCTCATTCTCCAAAGATTTCGCGTCAGCGGTGGTCTAAGCGGCCCATACTAAATGGACTCGGTCCTCGACGCCTCCACGCGATATGGGGGTGTAGACCCTGAAAAATCGATCCGCAAGGAGCGTGCGACAACTTGCCGCTGGTCACGAGATGTAGCGTCTGTGCCCAAAACTCATCACCCCCGCCCCAAACATCGAAGAGTAGACTCGAAGGCGCAGCCCTTCATATTTCGTTCTCGAAACAAGTACCCAAGAAATGCCGCGACCAACAACGGCGCCGGATCTCACTTTGCGGGCCACATGTTTTCGTCGTGCTTGACCAAAATTCTCCACATGCGGTACACCCGGATGAAAAACGCGAACATGTGTGTACATAGCGCCGGCCACGCCAGGAGTCTCTTGGGCATCGAAAAGAGCGAGGGACAGGGGAGGGGTGCAGGCAGGATGAGAAAAAACGGGTGAATAAACGAGAATCGGCAAGTCAAACGCTCCGTGAAGTACCGGCCGACCACACCACCGGGTCTTGAAATCACAATCGTGACACAAGGTGGACGCGAACATCAACACACAACTACCTTGCTTCGAGTCTCCAAAGAAGTGCAAAAAAACAGTCGCCAAGCCCCACGGCAACTCCACCCACGATGCGCATCTTTCCAGGCACTACAGTAAAAACTCCAAAGTTGCGCGTGAGGCATTCCGTCTATCCTGAGCGTCAGTTTTTCGCCCGATCTCTTTGCGACGTGTCTACTGGGGAAACAGAGGAGGAAAGCCGCACAAGTCTCTTTCCTCCCGCTGCACGCCTCCTCGGGTGCATGCTTCCAACTTTTGAATCTCTGTTCCAACTTTTGAATCTCTGGAGGGGTTGAGCCATCTCTTTCCTCCACCGGCCATGAAGTCGTTGAAGAATGCAATAAGCCAACGTTACATCATTCCTACTACGGGCACCTCGTCAATATGACTCCCTTCGTCTGCATCAACGTTTTCGTGCTCTCCATTTATTGGTGTAAGATTCCTGTCAGCGCCAGGAGCTTTACCACCGCCAATACTAATGGCGCCTTTTTTCCACCGCAAACTCGCCGGCATAGCCTCTTTTTTCTAGTTTTCAGTTACAACAAGTGACAGTTCTCCCTTGGTGCAGTTCACGCTCCAGTTTACACTACCTTGAAAACAATGAGTCAGACTGATGCGTTTCATCCAACGTATGTCTTTCGGTCGACTACGTCTTTCGGAATGTTCATGGTTCATGGAAGCACGAGCTGGGGCCAGACAAGACGGAATGGAACCAGGGCATCAGACGTGTGTACGGTCCGGTTGCAACCACCCTCCGAGAGCGAGGGGCGCGCACCTCGAGGTAGCACTTGGCAAGAATGTCGCCCTCGCTCCTCCGGATTAGACCATTATCTAGAGCGCCCGCAATTGTCCATCCGAAGCCACCGAACGTCTGAAGGTATGCAGCGAGATCGAGAATGGGGCGGGAGAAGCACGGAAACCGCAACAGACGGCGAGAGCCAAGGGGGTGGGTCGAACGAGGCAAACGGAGAAGCACCAAGGGGCCGAGAAGTAGATGGAGACGGTCGTACGGTGAGATAGAGAAGAGAGACAGACAGACAGACAGAGAGAGACGGCGGGCCGGTCGATGTTGCTTCACGAAGGGCAACTCATAGTGAAAGGTTCTGCCGACGGAAACACCAAGCAGGAAAACACTCTCCTTGCAGAACTATACCACCAACGTGCAATTAGCGCGAGCACCAGGTGCGGCGGAAGTCGTCACCGCGTGGGAATGGGCAACAACTAAGCACCCAACCTTGAAACGTAAGAGGCGACGTGGACCCAGCCGTTCCGAAGATCGCGAACAAAACACTACCTAGACATGGGCGAGTGTCCAAGCAAGCAACCAACAATAGTAACAACAAGCAGGCATCAACGTGTGTCCAGCTTCGTCTACTGCCCGCACACCATGATGATGACGATGTCGACGTTCTTGGTCACGTACGGCGGCCAATTCCGCCAGCACAACAGGTGGACGCAAACGCCCAGGGCAAAGGCTTGGACGGTCCCCACAAACCCCAGCATGATGTAGTCCACCATGGTCAAGGGCTCCCAGACTTCTTCGTCCGACATGTTCTACGGAAGCTCCCTTCCAAACGTGAGCGATACAGTCAAGACACTCGAAGGGCTGATAATGTATCGTGAGAGGAATCCTGCCAGGCGCGAGACGGCGGCGGCGGAGAACCAGCGTAGAGAGGGTTGGCGAGCGTGTTATCCTCCATACGTCAGTCGCCTAGCGTTTCTACTATTGTAGTATAAGGGAGGGGGGTGTTTGTTGGGTCTCCCACACTTTCTTCAGTTTTGCTAGACCCCCCGCGGGGAACCCATGGGCTGCCCATGGGCACTTTGGTGTCCATGGAGAATGCCCACGGGCAAGCCCGTCGGTAGCCCATGGGCGGCCCATGGACCGTCCATGAGTGCCGTTCAACCGGAACCAGTGTACTCCCAAGCGATAGAGTATCTGCTATGGAAGTGACATTATAACGGCTAAAAACACTTACGCTAACCCCGACCCTAACCACAAGCCCACACGATACGTGAAAGGTTGGCGCTGGCTAAGTTCTAGGTTGATGTGCCGATGGCTAAGTTCTGCTGTAGGTTGATATGCCGGTGGCGAAGTCCTAGGTTGAAGTGCCCACGGTGGGCACTTCGTGGGCAGTTAATTGGCTGCCCATGGGCCCACCCATGGGCAGCTCGTGGGCAGTCCATGAAGTGCCTATGGGCGGTCCAATGGGCTGCCCGTGGGCTGCCCATGGGTGCCCGATGGGCGGTTTAGCAAAACACGCAGTAGTTTAGGAGATTGTTTCTTGAGAGCGAGGTCAAGGTACAATGTCGAGGTGTGCCGCACAGACAGACATCGGTGGGCGCCGCGCAAGCAATTGGATCTCGGGAAAATATCAAAACCATTTGCTTGGCGAGCAAGAACAAGGCATTTTTTTTTTTTTCTGGATATGACCCCAACGAACCCATCTCTAAGTCTAAGATAGATCAGCAATGGATTCATAGCGTCAGAGAAAGCTTCCTGTATTTCCACGGCTTCTCGAGCAGCATACAGCGATATCTCCCCTGTGGGTAACAGGCTCAACAAGACAGTTTGGTAGCCGTCGTGTGCATCTATCTGTCTGTATGTTATGCTGGGAATTTTTGTTTGGGTTGTGTTTGTGTCTTCTGACGATACTCTTGTCGAAAATCCTTCGCGATGCTTTGCTCGCGTAGAACATACTTCGAAGCACAGCAGTAGCGAACACGTTGTGATTGACTGCGGGGAGTCCTCGGCGTGACAAACAACCGCAATTCAGAGGTCAGGGCATGCGGGTAGCATGCTGCATGTGTGCCCAAGTGAGTAGCATGCTGCATGAGCGGCACCGACACCCCCGGCAGCCGAAGATTATGCATACCATGTAGCCTACCGTATATGACACAAGATAACACACCCTCTTGACCGTTTTTCAAAGCTCGATTTCTCAACAGCAGGAAGACTCACAGCGCCGAACACGGCGGCGTTGGAACCGTCTCGTTGAGATCTTTTCGAAAATGTATCATTTCGTTTATGTATCCTCTTCGTCATCGAGTAATCAAGCTTTGAAAATCGGGCCAGGGGGTGTGTTATCTTGTGTCATACACGGTATGTGGGAACGCGAAAAAAATATTCCGACCCTTATCTCGGAATATTTCAACAGCGTACAAGGTGCCGCACCGTGTCTCTGGGTAGATGCACGATGAAAAAAAGCTGGCAGCAGGAGGATCAAACCCACAGCAGTTTGACTTCTAGCTGCCAGTTGTGAGGTTTCCCCCGAGAAGCAGCCCCACGAGAGACCTCCAAAATGTCAGGGGTCAGGAGACGCAGAATAATGGAAAAACTGCACAAACTGCATCCCGAACGGCAAGCAACATCACATTGCAGCAGTGACAACACGCTGTTGTCCCGCGACAAATGGTGGCACGTATGGTGGCACGTACAACATGAACAGAGCGGACGTTGATGCTTACTAGACGATCGCGCTCTGCCAGGGCGTTCTGCTCCTCATTTTAGTGCACCCTTCGAAGCAAGCCTCGCCCGTGTCACGCCCGTTGTACAGCAGCCGCTCGCTACGTCTGCCACATGAGCGAATGATTGAGCCCATCATCCATCAACAACGGTTGTTTTTTTTGTGTGTGTGAAGATTTATATGTGGGACTCAAGTCGACATACCAGGTAGAGTATGTTGCAGTTGGCTTAGCATAAAGTACACCAACAGACGTGCATGGACCGGCGTTACCGGCACAGCAGGAGTAGAACACCTGAACATTTCGTCAAGACGCATGCGTAGCCACAGAGGCTTCGACAGCGCACCGATTCTGTACGAAAATCCCCCGTCAAATACATCGCCAAGAACGTTGAACGATTGTTTGCTTTTCATGTCTTTTCATGTCCTGCTTTTTTTTCTTTTTTCCATGTCCTAACATCGAGGGCCGCCTTCCGAGAGCAAGCGAGACGGACCCAGGTACCATCGAACTCGTGCTGACCTTTCTCACAAGCATCACCGAACGACGTGCGGGTATAGCACCAGCCTGCAGTCTGGCAACCGAACGACGCACGGGTATAGCACCAGCCTTGTCGCAACCCCGCTCCTCGTTGGTTGTATCCGCGGGCCGTGTGTGTGCAGTGTACAGCGGACCGGTGGAAACGAGAATTGTTCTTTCTCGGCGGAGAGAAATCAGACGGAAAGATTCAAATTTGGCGGAGCCCCGTTGTTGTTGTCTTCACACTCGTGTGAGTCTTTTATTTTTTCCAAGACAAAATGAAGTATATCACATGGCGACCGGATATGGTAGACAGCATGTCACGCGTGTTCCCCATGTATGTGCCATGTAAAGGTTCATCCCAGTAAAAAGACACCGCAGCAGCAGCAGTATTGTAGTCTCTCTTCCGCTTCGTGGACGGCAGTATCTACTGCTGTTGGACCTCGAAATAATACAGAACTTGAGCCAAAAAAAAAACTCAGAACTCGTAAAAAAAAAATGGTGCTCATCATCAGACCCATGTTTATGGTTTCCAAATCTTTGTATCTTCCTTTCTTTGGACAGATGTTGACTTTTTCGACCTTTTGGGCAGTCTGCCTCCCGAACGAATGCGAATCAGCTGTTCGACCTTTGAGAATATATTCACAGCTTTTCCTGAGATGTATACAGGCCGCCTATTTGGTTTCGCCAGGGTCCACGTTTGAT